CACCATGCCGATCAACAGACCAACAGAGTGGAGACAGGTTCATAGGGGTACTCTTTTGCATACCTGGGAGACCCCAAGCAAGTCTGCAGAAAAACGCGAACCTCCCCCCAAAATGGAGGGAGTTTAAATCCCGCCCAAGACAAGAGGAACGCTGTCTGTGCTGTGCTTGCTGACCGTGGGTAGGGAGGAGAAAAGCCAGCCGAATGGAACTGCTGCTGAAACCAGCCCTGCTGCCGTCAGCTCCTCTGCAGGCAGGCAATTAGATGGGCAGGTAGGCAGACCAGGAGGAGCGGCCACTGTCCCCTCCCTCTGCAAAGGCCGTTGCCTGCCCCGCTACGGCAACCTCTGCTCTGTGAGTGGGGCTGCTGTCCCTCCGCTGTGTGAGCCAGGTGGCTAGGCAGAGGAACGGAGAGCAACAGCAGTGCCTGGGCAGGTGGGCAACTGGTTGGCCCGACAGGCAATTGGGGGGGGTGTTGGCATCCTCCCCCCAAGCCTTGCAGGCCCCCCACAAAAAGTTTGATGGCAACATTGGCTTTCCTGAACTATTTAACCAAACATCTGACGTCCCACCCTGAGCTGAGTGGCCCAGGCGAGGCTGATCGTGTCATATCACAGAAGCTCAGCAGGGTCAGCTCTGGTTGGTACTTGGATGGGAGACCACCAAGGAAGTCCAGGGTTGCTACCCAGAGGCAGGCAAACCGCCGCTGAATGTCTCCTGCTTCGAAAACGCCATGAGGGATCGTTGTAAGTTTGCTGCAGTGGCACTTTACACAAACGCACTCATTATCTCCAACAAACCCAACAACTTATAAATCACCTTCGTTCACATTTAAGCCTGAATTTATGCTTTTTAAAGCCTGAATTTATGCCGTTCACATTTAAGCCTGAATTTATGCTTCTTCAGACAAAGGTCAGGCCTGGTTACAGCCTTTTTAAAACTCCCAAGGAAGGGGAAAAAACCTTACCACACAAGGGAAAAATACAACAGCGATGCAACAACAGCAAGAGCATAGAAACGGGTTCTTCTTGGGCTTTATATGCTCCCTGGGGTCGGCCTCCCCACCCTACAAGGGCTGCTAATATAGTTGAAAAGTCCTTTTCTACACAGAGGGAGGAGAATGGCTATGAGGTCATAATGCCTTCTCCTTCCTGCAGTTAAGTGCTCACACATTCATTCCTTGCTGCCCTTGAAGCAAAGGGTCTGATCTTTCTTATGTTGCCCAGATAACTGCCCTGTACCCTGATGTCACACTACCGAATACTAAATCACCCCATCAAAACAGGGGTTTTTCTAGGGCAGGGAGACAGATTATTATGGGAACAATGCCAGCAAGAATAAATTCTATCAGTGAAAATCTTGGATTTAGTCACAGGTCAGCAGCACATTGTGAAGACGTATTACACTTGCTTCTATTCTTCTTCCTACAAGGAACTTTAAGTCCCTGGCTCTAACCACCCCCATTTTACCCTCTCAATGATTTTGTGAGACAGGCTATGCAAACCATGAGCTGGATGGCCCAGGCCAGCCTGATCTCCTCGGATCTCGGAAGCTAAGGAACATCGGCCCGGGTTAGCACTTGGATGGGAGACCTCCAAGGAAGTCCAGGGTTGCTGTGCAGAGGCAGGCAATGGCAAACTACTTCTGAATGTCTCTTGAGTTGAAAACCCTAACAGGGTTGCTATTAAGTTGACTGTAATTTGACTGTACTTTCCACCACTACCAGGGTACACAAAGAGAGAGTGACTTGCCCAAGATCCCTCAGACACCCTATCCACTACATACTGGATCTCAGGATCGTGAGACCGTGTGTTGTGGTAATACACTGACAGGGTTTCAACTTCGTAAGGAACCAAAAGGGTGGACTGGGAAGACGCTGATGCTGAGCACAGTAATGGAGAGGATGTGGGAAAGGGATTTCCAGCAGGTATTGGAGGAGGCAATGGGAGGAAAATTAATTTTAAAAATTGCCGTTTGCATGACCCTGTGACCTCACTTTGGGGTGATGGTGGAAATGACATCACAACACTCTAGAAATCGCCTGCGACATCATTTCGGAGCAATGGTGGAAGTGACACCATGCCACTCTCCTGGAACTCTATGGTTTTACAGTTTCCACCAACTCCTAGAGAGGCGTGGCATCACTTCCAGATTTCCCCTGAGAAGTTACATCATGCTGTTGTGCCATCAGTCCCCCACCCCATGTCCCCATTCCCCAAGAATCCTTGCCAGCTGTCAGCTATTGGCTGGCAACCTTACACAGTGAAGATCCTTGTGCTGTGGTAGCAGGTGTCGCCAAAGTGGCTTTTAAAAAAGCCGCACAATCAATCTGATCGCTAATGGCCAATCAGACACTCTGCTGGGCAAAAGCCCCACCTGGTCCAACCCACTTTCTCAAAACTCTTGGCCAGACCCAAGAAAGGTATCAGTGGGAGACATGGTGCCCACAGGCACCACGCTGGGGACCCACGGTCCAGTAATTCATATTGTATTAGTCTACAAAACAAGGGCAACATTTAAGGGCTTATTCAAATGTACGAATCGGTTAATCAATGGACCTTTACTGCATTCATTACTGGCTCCTCAATGCTCCCTGTTATTTATTCTCATATGCAGCCTAGACTATAAATTAATTGGGGCAGGCATAGAAATTTGAAGGCCCAGGAAAAATGGAAAAATTCCAAGGGGGGGGAGGAATCCCATTTTTCTTGAGGACTGTTGTTTTCAGATGACATATTTCAACGAAGCGTTTTTACTTTGGAGTGAAATTATTTTAATACAAGGTTTTACTAACTTAAAACATATAGCACATACAAATCTGAAGGAACCCCCCCCCCATTTTTCTAGTGGGAAATTTGGGGAAGCACTGAAAAAAATCCTGTAAGAAAAAACATTGCAATTAATGAACTGTGCTAAAACAGCATAGACCTGGATGGCCCAGGCTAGCTCGATCTCGTCAGATCTTGGAAGCTAAGCAGGGTCAGCCCTGGTTAGCATTTGGGTGGGAGGCCAACAAGGAAGACCAGGGTCATGACACAAAGGGAGGCAATGGCAAACCACCTCTGAATGTCTCTTGCCTTGAAAACCCTATAGGGTCACCAGAAGTTAACTGCAACTTGACTGTACTTTCCACCACCAAGATAGCATAGGTACAGCAGTTTGTAGCTTTCTGTCAATCTAGTATTGGTTGTATTTGCAATTTTGCTTGTAGAAAAAAGGTATTTGTACATTTAATTGCAGACGTTTGCCAATACAATTTTATATGCTAGCTATAAACGAAATGACACATTTTATGTTGTTAAAACAACAAGACAGGTTTCGGTTTGACAGCAATGTTAGAATTACCTAGATTTTCATCTTTTGTAAAATTTTCATTTCCCCCCCCCAGGAAATAATACATCTCCCCCAGTGCCTCCAAAATTTCTGAAATTTTACACCCCAAAGGCAAGGAACTCCTCCACATTAGCATATCTTACTTTGGAAAGCACTGTGAACACTGACAATGCTACATAAATAGTAAATTAACCCTCGTTTTATTTCAGTACAGACTTTGAACACCAGTCAAGCTCATATCTAATGGTCATAATAACTATTGTATTTTTCTCCTGCCCTTCCCTCCTATATATGGTTGCCAACAACCTGGAGGAAAATGTCCTGCCCCTTAACAGAGGCTTAATGGGATGTTATTTCCTCTATGCCATTAAAAGCTTCAGATGTCCATTTCCACACATCAGGCCTCTGTTAAAGGGGCAAGGCATTTCCCCCCTCTAGGCTGTTGTAACCAAAGAGCTCTAAATGGTTCTCCCCTCTTCCATTTTACCCTCAGAACTCTATGACATACAGTTCCGCTGTGAAAGAGTAGGAGTAACTCCTATACATGGTTCTCACTGCCTCTATTTTATCTTCACAACATTTCTACCAGGTACCTAGGCTGAAGAACAGTGGCTGGTGCAAGATCATCCAGTGAACTTTTTAGCAGAGCGAGCATCTGAACCTGGGTTTCCTTGGTCCTAGTCTAACCATCATAACATATGGCTACAAGTACACTATATAGTTGCCAACTTCCCTGTGAGGCCAGGAGTTTCCCCAGAATTAGAATTGGTCTCTGGGCTACATCGATCAGCTGCCCTGGAGGAAATGACAGCTTTGGAGGACAGACTCTAGTTAGGCATCACACCCCCACTGAGCTCCCTCTCTTCCCCAAACTCTACCTTCCCCACCCCAGGACACTACCACAAAACCTCCAGTAATTTCTCAAGCCACCGCAGCCCAGCCTGTTTTGGTTTGTGAATTTAACACTGACAGAAGTTGCTGCGGATCACAAAATTCTTCCATCGTCGTGCCCTGAAGTTCGTATTGCTCTCCCTCCCCTACTTCCATGTTTTGAACGGAACACGCAGCCTGATGAAGAGATCTGGCGAACTCAAAAGCTTGTTAACTACGTGGTAACAATTTGGCCGCTCCTAATAAAAAGGTTGCATTGTTAGGGGGGATTTTTCTCCTAACACACCAACACAGTTACAAGCTTTAGTTTCGCAGAAAAAAATAAACATACTCATAGCGCGCGCCCCCCATAGTTTCTATTACGTGCACGGTGCAGAATTCCCAAAATATAAACAGTTAAGCCGGCGGAGGGGGTCAAGAATCTGAAGAGCGGAACTCTAAGTAAGAGGGCAGACACTTCCGGGGTAGAATAAGGGGGTGACACCAGTGGTAAGCGCAGCACTAGTCTGAAGAACGAGTAAAGGTGAGATAACAGCGGGGTAAATGAAGACAGATTGGCCCGGGGGGGGAGACTGTCCCGGGGGGGGGGGGGGGGTAAGAATAAAGTTGAGCAATGACAATTTTGAATAGCGTGGAAATGAATGGGCGGGATGCGTTGCTGGGACGTCATTAAACCAGCTCCCCACACACACACACCCCAAAAAACAACGAGGGGACGTTGCCGGAGAAAGGAGGGACTGGTAATGGTGGGGACACGGCGGTTACTACAGAAACTCACACTTGGCGCGCGGGCCTCGGCCGCCATTTTGACGCCCCCGACCGACTCCTTGTCTCCGGCCGACTTTGGCCCCGCCCCTTTCGGGAAAGGGCGGAGGGAGGAAGCGACATCCGGGCACTTTTCGTCACTGGCCCTATTCCTTTGCCTTTTAGTACATGGAAAATTAGCAAAGTAACACTTTTCCTGGCATGTCCACAAACAGTTGGAAAGGCTTTACTTGATTAACATTATGTGCTGTCTGGCAGTTGTTAAAAGCCCCGGAGTAAGGCCAACACACACACAAAAAATAAGGACTACAGTTGGCTACCCTACATGAAACAAACCAGGGCATACAACCCCATGTATTTCTTGGAATTATTCCTATGAAGAATTGCATCTGGCTAGAGGTCCATCTGGCCCAGCATCCGCTATCTTACAGGGGGCATTCAGGGCTCCTGCCTCCAGAGGTCAGCTGTGAGGTGGTTTCCTAAATTTAAATTACTCCCCCTTTGAATCCACTAGAACAGTGATGGTGAACCTTTTAGAGACCGAGTGCCCAAACTGCGACCCAAAACCCACTTATTTATTGCAAAGTGCCAACACGGCAATTTAACATGAATACTGAGGTTTTACTTTAGAAAAAACAATTCATACATTAACTTAAGATGATCCAAACAAAGTAAGGAAAGCAATTCCAAATGCTTTCATTTACTTAAAATTATTTGGCAGAGAGTTTGACACTTTAATGATGGTCTGGGCCTGGCTGGGGCGATGGCACGCGTGCCCACAGAGAGGGCTCTGAGAGCCACCTCTGGCACCTGTGCCAAAGGTTCGCCACCACTGCACTAGAAGAAAGGCCAATGATGGTCCCACCGTCCATGAGCCAAATTTCACCTGAGGGCCACTGGTTGCCTGCCACAGAATTAATGAGCCCAAGTTTGCTGGAGCTGCATCTGCACATCTTGCGCTACGGTTGCACTCTCGCAATTCCCAACTGAATTTTATTTACTTATTTTACATTATTCGTTGTCCACCTTTCTCACAGGGACTCAAGGTGAATTACACATAATGAGCCAGTACAATCAACAAAATGGGGCATTCAATAATCAGTGTGTTAGGTTGTTAGAAGTCTGCAACCAGCAAAAAGAACTGAAGCATAGTGTAAGTATTCACATGACGCATTAAGCAGTAGGAAAGTAGGATCCTACTTACAATAAGCAATACACAACAGTACTGACCACAGTCTTTAAACATTCGTCCAAGCAAATTTGTAAAACCATTTTGTGCAGTGCAACCCTATTACTTGCACAGAAAAGCTCTCTTGAATACGTCAGTTTTGCATATAGGCTTGCCAGGTCCTTGGTTTGTTCTAGTGGGGGCTTCTTTCTTCTTCTTGGAGTGATGACATCACCCGGAGGTGAAATCATCGTGCGAGGCACATTGTGGGGAGGGGACACTCTACCATTTGAGAAAGAACTATGGTTACTATTGAGTTTTTTCTAAATTGCTAGAGCGTCCCCTTGCACCCTCCATAAGTATTCACATGACACATTAAGCAGTAGAAAAATGACATAAGTAGGATCCTACTTACAAGAAGCTATACACAACAGTATTGACCACAGTCTTTAAACATTCATCCAAGCAAATTTGTAAAACCATTTTGTGCAGTGCAACCCTATTACTTGCACAGAAAAGCTCTCTTGAATACGTCAGTTTTGCATATAGGCTTGCCAGGTCCTTGGTTTGTTCTAGTGGGGGCTTCTTTCTTCTTCTTGGAGTGATGACATCACCCGGAAGTGACATCATCGTGCGAGGCACATTGTGGGGAGGGGACACTCTACCATTTGAGAAAAAACGATGGTTACTATTGAGTTTTTTCTAAATAGCTAGAGCGTCCCCTTGCACCCTCCAGTTGATGTTATCATGCCGGGCACATTGGTGCGGACGGGGCTCCCCCCCCCCCCCCCCCCCCCCCGTGGCGGCAGATTGGGGGCCCCAAAAGCAGGGAAATCCCTACCCCTGGGGGGGGATGGCAACCCTATTTGCATAGTTTGCGGAAGGCCTGAAGAGTGGGAGCTGTCCTGACCTCCTCACGCAAGCCGTTCCACAAGGTAGGAGCCACAAGGCTTTTCTGCATAGGAAATTACCATTGCAATGATTGCATCAATGCAGCAATAGATAGCACAATATACAACAGGATGTGTGGATGCAGTGTAGGGCTTGGCCTCGGAATATTTCTGGACACAGGCAAATGCCTTTTTCTGTTACTTTCTGTCACTTCCAAACATCAGTTAATTAGGTATTTTTCCTGCCCATTCTGTATTTTGACTTTGGGTGTGATCATGGTTGCCACACACACACACACGGCCACTGGCAGGGGATGCGTGGTAGAGTGGCCAGATCCAAGTTGGGAAACTCCTGGAGATTTGGGGATGGAGCCTGGGGAGGACAAGGACCTCAGTGGGGCTCAGTGCCATGGAGTCCAACATCCAAAGCCTCCATTCCTCCAGGGGAACTGATCTCTGCAGTCTGGAGATGAGCTGTCATTCCAGGGGATCCCCAGGTCCCACCTGGAGGCTGGCATCCCTAAGTTTGATTGATAGTAGGTACAGTGTTGATGAGATGAGATAGGTACAGTGTTGATGAGATGAGATATCAGGAGGCAGACACTGTTTGTTTAGTTTTATTGGCTTCACAAACTGATCCATTAGACTCTTCCCCTGAACTGGCCCCCAAAAGAAAAAGAAGAACACTCTATCAGGATGGTCATCCTGAGGAGCCCCGGCTCTAACTACAGACTAAGTTTTTCATAGTTTCAGAATTACAATTTGGCAGCCTGACAGAATTATCACACATCTGGGGCTTGGGAAGGAAGACTCTCAGCTTCAGACTATGGCCCCTTCACCTTGGCTTGTGTGTTGGGATCTTCATCAAAAGAACGGCTTTCCCATCTCATGTGTGTTAACCGTTGTCTCGCCGTTAACAGCCAAATTGTCCAGAGTCAACACACATACACACACAAAAAACCTTGTGATCTAGACACACGATTCCACCTAATAATCGCTGACGCAAACTGTACTAATGCCGCTTTACAACAATATGCAAATGTACAAGGAAAATAGAGGGTTCACGGGGTAAGAAATGTCAGGCCCTTTGCCGGACTTGTCTGTCTTGACGTGAGGGACTCCATAGGAAGCAGTGCTCTCTAAAGCAACTTGCCGAAGAGAGACCACAATTGCTTAGCGCTAATTATGGGAATCGTGCCAAGGAGAGGGTGCAGCGCAACCGGCCAACAAAACACACTTTTGTCAAAATTGTTACAGTGACTTCATTCTTTGGGAGGGGCACAATGGTCCCCATTCTCTCAAGAGGGTTTCTCTTCACAATGGACTCAGTCAGGCCTGTGAAGCGGAAGTGCCAGAGGAAGGAGCGCTTGTTGTCAAGGGAGCCGAAGATCTGTCTCCTGAGGGCAGGGAGGCGGGACTGCCACATGGTGTGAAAGAGAGGTTAAAGAATATGTCATGGGGTGATGGTGGAATATTTATTTCACAAAGGAAAAGGTGCTCGCCAGAGGCTGTGGGCTAGTTCCTGAAGCTGAGGAAACCACCAGAGAGGTTCTGCTGTCTCTTGCAATTTATGGTTTCAGATAAAATTGCTGACTTTCGAACATGCACTTGTAGCTGTGCCTTTAACAGGAAATGTCACTTAGGGTTGCCAAACTCCAGGCAGTGGCTGAAGATCTCCTGGGGTTACAACCGATGTCCGGGCAACCTAGATCAGTTCACCTGGAGAAAATGGCCATTTTGGAAAGTGGACTGTATGGCATTATATCCCACTGAACACCCAGTTTGGTGTAGTGGTTAAGAGCGGCGGACACCAGACTCTAATCTGGAGAACTGGGTTTGATTCCCCACTCTTCCACATGCAGCCAGCTGGGTGACCTTGGGTCAGTCACAAGTTCTTTCAGAGCTCTCTCCCCCACCTACCTCACAGGATGTCTGTTGTGGGGAGAGAAAGAGAAGGTGATTGTAAGCTGCCCCGAGACTCCTTCGGGTAGTGAAGGGCAGGGTATAAAACCAACTCTTCTTCTTCTTCTCCCCAAACCCCGCCATCCACTGGCTCCACACCCAAGATCTCTAGGTATTTCCCAAACCAGAGCTGGCAACCCTAGGCTGCCACTCACAGGTGGATAATGTCAGGGATGGAGGCCAGACTCCATTTTGTTTGCTTATCCTCCCACAATAACCCATTGCTTCATGCTGTGGAGAGGTTTACATGCTAAGTTCTGGATATCTGACTATTATTAAAAGCACAGTAGCATACCGAACAGGGTCATTTAATTGTTGGCAACTCCAGTTTGAATGGGAATGAGATGTGAAAGGCCTCCTGCTGCTCTCTCCCAGTAAACTCTACAACAGCAGTTTTTTGGAACCAAACCCAGGGCTATTTTGGGGCAGGAACGCACAGGAACGGAGTTCCGGCTGGCTCCCAAGTTGACCACGCCCAGCAGGAACTCATTAGGATTGGCTACATTAGGGGTGTGTGGCCTAACATGCAAAGGAGTTCCTGCTACAAAAAAAGGCCCTGGGTTTTGACAACAAACAAGGTAAACAGAATAAGAAGCAAAAGGTGGGTGTGGCTGGATGACCACACCTGGCATCATGGGAGTGCAGCCTAATGTGCTAATGAGCTGTGCTGTCAGGGGTGTGGCCTAATATGCTAATGAGTTTCTGCTGTTGGGTGTGGCCTATTATGCTAATGGTTTCCTGCTGGGCTTTTTCTACAAAAAGAGCCCTGACCAAACCTAAGAGATGTGCAACGAAATTCTAAGCGGATTTACACTATTCAAAGACCATGGGCTTCAGTGGACACAGGAATGACCTAACTCTGCTTAAAATGACATTGTTGGAGTCTGAGGTATAAAATCCAATTATCATCTCGGTGAAAAATATATTTATATTACCTGAAATGTACTGACAAAGAAGTAGGGTTGCCAGGTCTGGGTTGGGAAAAACCTGGAGACTTTGGGGGTGGAGCCAGGAGAGGTTGGGGTTTGGGGAGGGGAGGGGAGGGGAGGGGCCTCAGCATATTTACAGT